CCATGTCCTCCACCAGCATTAAAGAGCTCCTTTCGGCGAGAGCTGTCGTGAACAGCAGGGCTCAGCTTCTGCCCTGAGCCCCCATAGAATCATGGAATCGTTTAGGTTGGAAAAGACCTTTAAAATCATCAAGCCCAACCATTAACCTAACACTGCCATTCCACTAAACCATGTCCTTAAGCACCATCCCACAGTCCCCAGGCTTTGCAAAATATCAAAAGGGGAAACACCTCCCATTCAGGTAGTCTTGGGCGAGGAAGATGCACAGGAGATTCAAGACTCCTGTGAAATGTCTGAACCATTGGCATGGGGAGCTTTTTTGCAACTTTTGGGGGTTGGCAGACCCTGCGCTATTTCCCACTTGAAGGAAAAGTTGTGTAGCCCAGATGCAATAGCCCGTGTTTTCTTTCTTACACGTCACATACTTCTGCTAAGCTGCATGGCCTCAGATGTTGTAAATCTGCCAAAATCAGAGTATTATTTCATAGCAGGTATGAGGAAAAAACCCAACATAATTGGTTAATTAAATAATGACTATCAGGTCCTGCATTTTACAGTACACTGCTTGGAGATGGATGGTTTTTAATCAAATGGCTTATCTAAATCTAGTAGGACTAAAAATCTCTTTCAGAATTTGATTTTTAAACGTCAAATGAAATATTTTGATTTGGAAGTCTTCCAGATGGAATACTTCCCAGTGCAGAGACAACTTTTTTATAACAATTGGGAAAAAATAATTGAAATGGAACAGCTACACTAGATGCTCTGAAAGAACGAAAAAGATGCCAAAATCATATCATATGACTTTCACCATGAACACACATCCCATTCTACTAACACTGGATTTTTAATTCTATCTCAACTATGTTACGGATCAGAACTGCAGGGCTATAGATTAATCCAGATTTGCTCAGCCAGGAATCCATCCATCAGCCCTGTTGTGATTATGTTCTTCTAATCGAGTACAATTAACCATTCTCACATAACACCATTAAAAAACACTTAGGAACTGATCAATGGCTAGTATAAACTGAACTGATTAATGTAATTTTTGAAATCAAGTTTCAATTAGCTCTCAAGAATCATAAAAATGTGAACAGCAAATTCTGCTGCAGACGTACCATCTTAGTTTGAATGAGAAAGATAAATATGATGCCTTTTTCCACTGAAAAAAAATTAGCTGCTAAATTCCTTGTTGGGTTTAGCAAATAGTGTGCAGTTCACTTAGGCTGTGAGTAAGCAAAGCTTTGCTTGTACATTTACTCACAGGCTTTTTTACAGGAGTCCTGACCATAGCATGCTACCACCAAACTCTAGAAATCCTTAGTAAAATTATGGCATATTTTGACTGAATTTGTAGATGAAAACAGCCAGAAACCAATTTTCAGTGATGATTAAAACAAATGCCGTCCAATGCAAGGGCCAAATTCCCCTTGCAGGAAGGAGGCAAATGCTGCTGCTCCTTCCTCTGCCCAAAATTCTACGTGGCCCAGTGGGACCAGCAGCGATTTACCCAGCTGGTCCTGTTCCCCCGTGCTGGATGGCCTGTCGGCCTGCTGGGTGGCCTGGTACTTTGGTCGCAGACTGTCCGGCATCTGTGCAGATTACAGCAATGTTAAAATCAAGTAGATAATTATTTTCTGGGTGCATTTATACTTAACCAGATCAGAGATATTTTTCCCAAGTTTTCTCTTGGTGACAGGACAGAAGATTTGAGTGTCTACTTTGGACCCTCAGACAATGAAGGGAACCTTCTTTTCCAACTCAAATGTGTCTTCTCTGACTGCCCAAAGTGACTAAACATCTTGGGCCAAGCCCTGTTGCTCCCCTGCTGTGATGTTCCCTGCAGTACACAGCCCACTGAGATCAACATCCCTGCATCCTCACTGGGGCTGGACACAGAAAAGAAGCAATTTGTACAAACCCATGGAAGCAGAAATGGGTGTTACCAGTGATTTGGGGACCTCCGTGGGTGGATCCAGTACCCAGGTTATCCAAAAGCTCAGAGGGGTAATAGGAAATCCCTCGTACCCGCTGGTGGGGACCATGAAGACTTGGCCCTTCAGTGCTCTGTCAGGAAGGCACCAAGCCATAAAGTTTAGGAAGCCCCTGACTGCACACAGCTAACAAGGCGGAAAATGCCCTTCATGCCTTCTCAGAAGATGCAAGTACAACACTTGGCCTGGCTGGGGAGCAGAAAAATAGTCAGTTTTTCTATTTCCACCTGAAAGCAACACTTCCTCTCTGTCTTTGACATTTGGCAGTGCCACTAGTCAGCAAAGGACCTTCTTCCTCCAGCCTTGGCTTCTCTTTCCCACAGCTTAGTTACACTGAGGTCTCTGGTGCCTGATTCTCTGTAGAGCACTCCCATTATTTATAAGCAGCCTCCCACAAACACCAACCATTTCCATCTCTCCCTTGTCCACTTTTAGACCTGACCCGTAATCCCAACTGTCTTGCCTCTGCCTAATCCTATAACCCATCACAAATCCCTTCTGCCTCCCCTCTGCCTGCATCTCTACCCATCACTGTCTCCCCCAGGGTGCTGGGGGTGTGTGGGATGTGAGCCTGGAGCAAGGCTGCTGCGTGAACATGTGAAACTCAGGCGTTAGCTCCCATCACAACCAGCCTTTGGGCACCCATACCAGCCTCTGAATGCCACAGGGTCTCTCTGACAACTCAGCCGGATCCCCATCCGCAATAACTCCCCTCCCTGTGCTCTCTCACACCTTGGCTCCAAAAAGGAGTAACCCAAACCCACGTCCTAACACTGCCTTTACGATAAAACCCACACAGCTATTTTTGGTCTGTTTATGGTCAGCCATATTTAAACAGAGACTAATTGCACCAGCACAAACTTGTCCTCATGTAACTTCATTTTCATCCAGACAGAAGCTTTCAAGCAACAGCAACCAAAGCCTTTCAATATTTAATCAGCTGCCTGGCCTGAAACAGCGGGGGCTGGTGCAGAGCGGGTGAGGGGGGGTGAGCATTCGTGTCCTCACCAAGCCTCTCTCCAGCCTGAGCACTCGCCTCCCTTGCACGCTTGCTGCGGTAGAAAGCCAAACAGGAGCCCCATTTCAGCCTGCAGCTTTAGCCCCAGCAGCTCTTTCAAACAGCGTGACTTTGAAGCACCTTATTTTTCATCCCTCTCTTCCAAATTCTCAGCTGCCTTCCAGGTGTAAATCTCACTTTCTGTCCTACTGATGCTGGGAAATTGCTGTGCTCAGCGCCCTGTAATTGTAAGTCAGCAGGGCTTGAGCTCTCTCCCACTTCTGTCTGGTCTGAAAGCAGGCAGGGTGTAAATCTTGGCTGCAGACATGGCTTTGCAGAACTCGCAGTGTGTGGGGGGCAATTTAGGCTTTTCCTAATCTTTCCTCGTTCCCTTAGAGCCTGTCCTGTGTGTGTTAGGGGGATTAGCGGGGTTGAAAGGACATCAGATTTCAGTGGGTTGGCTCTGCAGCATTCCCTGGAGACTCTGCTTTTAGCCCCCATGCTAGAGAAGTGTTGCTTTGAAATAAAGCTGTAAGAAGGAGCCCCTGAAATGTCCTGCTTTAGTCAGTGGTCATCGCTGGCTTTTCAAAAATGTGTCAAAATACTAAATGCCTTCTGGCCCAAAATGGTCCATGAGTGTTTCCTACCAGAGCCCCCGAGCCCTGCACCCTCCCCAGCCCCTTGCAGCCCCCCCCCAGCAGCCAAGTGAGGCTCCAGCTTCTCCCCCCGCTGCTGCTGGACACCCTGGGCTGGAGGTGCCCGTGCTGCCCAGCACCCATGGGCACCACACCAGGCACGGCCGCAGCAAAGGCAGCATCCCTGATAATTTGCAGTGCCTGAGCTCCTAAGAACAAAAGATCCTATCTCGCTAGCATTATAAAATAGATACTAATAACCAAGCCTAAAGACCCTTATCTAAAAGAAGGAAAAAAAGCTATTAGTGACAAATAATAAATACAAGTTTAATTAAAATTTGCCATCCTCTGGCGCTGAGAATGCGAAAGGCATTGCCCGTGTTCCCAAGGGTGGTGCGACGTCAGGGCATCGCCACAGTCCCCAGAGGGCTAAAAAGCAGCAGCAGTGACAGCAGGATTCGTCATGCGTGCACCCACCCACGCCACTGGAAATGTGCTCCATGCTCCTTTCGAGCCTTGGCTCACCGAGGAGGTCCAGCCTCCACCAAGCCCAGCAACTTTGGGTCTGTATCACAAGCAAAAAGGCTCCTCAGCTCCTCCTGAATGCCTGGAAAGTTTGACTAATCGCCAAACAGCAGCTACACATCAGGAGAAGAAACCAATGGGATTTCTCAACCAGGGGCTGCGTATAAATCATTTAACACCTCATCTACACATGCTCGTAATTAATGCGCACTAGATCCCTGCTATGAGACAGCCCTGCTAATATATCTGTGAATTCGGGCTGTGAGTGCATGTGGCATAGGGGTGCAAAAGGACAAATGTACCCCCTCCAAGAAGCAGCTGATCTGGCTGGTGCCCACTCCAAGCTTCAGTGGAAGTAGGTGAGAGGAATTAGGGTGAGATTTCCTCCCTTGCAGTGGGCTGAAAGCATTTGAGAACCAGTTCCCAGTCGTTGCAGGGCTTTGGAAAAAGCCCACACCTCTTGTGGCCCCAAGATCTCTATCAAATCCCTCTATATCTATAATCACATTCCCACATTTGTCACACCCAGGTGAGCAGAAAACAGCTCTGAAAACCTGTGGCCCCTCCACTTCAATGAGGCAGATTAAAATACCGTAAAGTGCTCTCACATTTCAGCCACTGCCAAGCAAGAAAAGCCTTGATTTCTTCTTCCTCCCTAACATTAAGGCAGTCAAGAACATGCCCAGGTGAGCTATGTCACCTTACTCCTGGGAAAGTCTATGATGGATGATCTGCTAGGATAGTACTAGAAAAAAGACAAGATTTGTCCTCAAAGTGTCCTGAACTTTCTGGCTCCCTTGCCCTAGCTTAATTCTCTTTCATAAGAGGTTCTTCCTCCTTTTTTAACCCAACTCCTCTTTTGAATTCAACCCAGACAAGGGAATCTGCAAGGCCACCTTGTTCCCCTCTTCCTTCTCCCCCCAGCACCAGTGTGTTTTTACCGACACGAACGTGATCACAAAGTCGTGACTGCACGGGAAGAACAAACAGGCTGAGCAGATGGGTTGTGCGGGAGGAAGCCCTCATTTAAAACGCAAATAGCTGGTGGTAATTTAGCAGATGTGGTAAGAAAAATCTGGAGAGACAAGCATGAGGTGACTGGATTCCAATTTCAATCAAATAATGTGGAAGTTTTCCCTGGCAAGGAAAGGTTTCATATTCCATCTCCTTGATTATCTTGTCTTGAAGAGGTAATGACACTGATTCCAAGTGTCTTCACAGGAATGATCTGGAGTATTCTTCATTTAGGATCTCATGTGACTCCCTGCCCTTACTAAATGGATTTTTTCACAAGGGAAATCCATCCTTTACAGCCCAAATGTCTGTGAGAAAAGGCTAAAATTCAGTTAGAAGTCATAACATTCATTAATTCTGCAGCACGTTCAATGTTGTTTCCATCCAGAGACAAAGACCTTAGGATCTGTCCTTCACTTCCCCAACCTCAAATCAGCATCTCTCAGGAAATATCTTTGGGATGCTATAAAAATCTGTACATCTAGCATATTGTGATATTCATTTGGCCCTAGAATTTTGTTTTGGCAGACGTACCAAAATTACCACAGATGGGTATGAGGATTTTCTCTTTATAAATATTCCTGAGCCATTAATGACACAGGGGAAATGAGCCCTTCCAGGCAGCACTGCAGCAGGGGCCAGGAAAGCACAGTCACCACCGGCTGGCTTTGCCCACTGAACGTGGGAGAAAAGTCAAGTGCACACAGACACAAAACGGGCATCAACATTCCTGCAGGCTTTAGAAGATAATCCAACAAGAAAAACAATTTACAGAATTTTCTCGTGCTCAGAATTGGTTTTTCTGGAAACATGGAATGAAGGATTTTCAACCTTTTGAAACAAACCATGGTTTGTGGTTAGAGGAAGCAAGGGCTGTCCTCTCTGAGAAGATTTCCTCACAGATACAATCATCAGCCCTCTCAAAGAAAACAAATTTGGCAATTCCTGCGCTCCCTCCTTCTTGCACAGTACTGGGATGCAGTCACGCAAAGCCCCTTCCACTTTCCCATGCTTGCTTCACCCCCTGTTCACCAGACACCGATTTGGTACAAAAAATCGTCACCCTGAAACACACATGAAACAAAAAGCCAAGCCAAAACTTGCTGTTTAGGAGAGGAGGATCATCTTTTTCTTTAGATTCAATGTCATTGGTGTTTGAAATGTCAAAGTTCCTCTAGAAATAAGCACAACAACCAGCACGCCCCACACAAAGTGTCACGGTATCTAACATCAAAGAGTAGGAAATGCGTGAGTTTTTAGCAAGGGAAGGTTTCTGTATGAATACATCATGAGAGGAATCTTTTTATAAACAAATAATCTCTGCAATATTCTCCAGGAGCAGTTTTTAACTCTGCCTGTCATAAATAAATCCAGAAAGAATTTGTTTTGGTATCCCCAAACCAAATTTTGCACCAGTTTTTGGGTGGAACACAGGTCCATCAAGAAGGTCGTAGCTCTGTACCTGTCAGCAAAAGTGGCAATGCTTCACCTCTATATTTTTCCTTTGTTTTTTGTCAACAGAGCTATGTTATGTACAGACCTTTGCAGATCCAATACAGCCAGATTGCAAAGGCTGCCCTTGGGTTTATTATTCCTTGATCCTCTTTAAACAAGGGCCTGAAATTCATCCCTAGTGTAAGAGCTCTGCCATCACTCGATTTAGAAGCAGGACACCCATTTGAGAGTCCAACGTGCAAACCTCTCATTTAGAGTAAGTCAGTGTCCAGGACATCAGATAGCTCACAGTGCCAGCAGTCCCGCTAGATCTTCTTCTTTCCAAACATCTGTATCTGTACCTCTCTGTATAACAGCTATTCACAGCACCTAGGGGACTGGTTTCAGGGAAAAAAATGCAGTTAGGCTTCATGATAGAGGTAGTTTATCAGCTAGAAAAGTTGAGGGGCTTTATGCATCCACTCAGGGGCAAGAATTCATGGATGACCTTCCAAAACTCCTGCGGGAAAGAGGATAAGGCAGAAAAAGCAGCATTCAGGCTCACCTAGGACTGCCCCATGGAGAGCACCACTGGTGCTTGGCCATGAGCTCCTGATGTGCCCCAGACCAAGCTGGAAATCACGCAGGAAAAAAGATAAAGAGTGGGCGATGAAACTGCAGGCGAGTGAAAGCTGCTCCGACTGCCCAGGCACACACATTGTCTGATCCGCTCAGCTCCCAGTCTCTTGCTAGGAGTAATTAAATTGCTTTGATGAGCACTGACCCCTGGAACAGCTTCAGTACAAACCAAATAGTCTTAATTTTTTTTTTTTCTGTCTCCTTTTCAGCTCCCTTCCCTTGCCTTTTACCCCATTAAGCCTTATTACTTTTGCATCCGGACTGATTGTCCAGAAAGGGACCAAAGAGAAAAGCATCGCTTACCAGAACTAGGAAATATTTCATCACAGCCGTTCACCAGCCATTTCCCCTCTTTCTAGCCCGTGGAGCTGCTCCTGAAAGGGTCACCCCTTTCCACTAGGATGTCACAAGCCGGAGATTAGAAGTAAATGCTCTGCAAGCCAAGCCAATCATCCCGCTGCGACCGCATCCAGGTACTGAAGCAGAAGCAATGGAAAAGTCCATCAGCCAGCAGAAAGCACAGGCGCCGGCACACACGCGCACCCCAGCCACAAAGCGCCAGGAGCGGAGGGAGGCTGGAGGCAGGAGGGAGAGCAGATGGGAGGGGGGTGGCTTGGCGGAACCAGGCAGCGGGAGATGCTAACGTGACAGATGTGTTGACTTTAAGTTAAACAGGAAATTGAGGACGTCCAACACAGGGAGGAAAGACACACTACCTCATGTTAAAGGCAAAGACTTCCCCTGGGCTTTCCCTTCTTTGCTTTCCCTCTCCCATCCAGGCTTGCTGCAGTGATTTCCAGCTCTAACCTCAGGCACAGCAACAAGCCAGGGTTTGCACAGAATCTGCCTGTGAGCCTGGGCAAGGCAGGAGCTGCAGGGCCAGCCAAGGTATTTCCCCTTCTAGCAGTGAGCTGGGAGCCTGGTCGTTTATTCCCTGTTCAACTCAAACTCCCCTGAAGTTATTTAAATGGCATCCTCTAGATGATGCGAGTACAAGTGGGAATGCTGAACAGCAGGATGAGGCTTTCAATTTGTCCCAGTTCTGGGCAGGGGCAAATACAATAGGGGTGAAAGCCTGATTTAAGTTATGTAGGATAAGCAGCAGAGAGTAGAATAAATTGATTTAAATGCAGGAAAAACAAAGTGCCTTGGAGCACTCGGCTTCCCCGTGAATAAACCCGAGTTTTCAGCCGTTCAGATGAGGGTGGCCAGGGCGAGTCTGGGGGATGGCAGCTGTACTGGGGGGTCCACAGGGTTAGCAACCAGGGGTATGTAACCCCAGGACAAGGCGACAAGACCTTGAGGCAGGAGTAAAACATGAAGAGAATTGGGGAAATCAAAACCTGCACTGATTTCTTAATTAAAGCCTGAGAAGCTGAGTGAAGGCAGAGAAACCGTAGTTTTGAGATAGATCCCAGCTTCTAGAGATAGGGGAGGCAAAAGAGTGGCCCCACCACAAACCCAGATACAGAAAAACAGCCATGCCAGCCGTCTCAGTCTCCTGGACAGGGACTCTGTTCCTGCTTCCCAAGGAGATCCCTCCCTTTTTCTGCTGCAGGCACCAGGAGGAAGAGCCCCTTTGGCATCCCTGCAGAGCTGGCCCAGCTGAGCCTTTCTCACTCTTCTCCCCACCAAAGCTTTTTCCCGAGACCCACCTGTAGGGGTGACAAGGACGTCTCCTCTGTGGCGTGTACCACTCCCCAGGGGAAGATTAGTGACAGGATTCCTTTTCTCTAGCAGCTGTGCTCCATGTAAAGGACAGAAATCTGTCCTTCTATACACAGCGCACTGGCCCCATGACTGTGAGTGAAATATTCAGGTTTTAGTGCAATCCAGCCTGCCTCCCTCCTCACATCCCATTCCCTCCACACACACCCTCGCTGTCCCTGAGCTGTGTTATTGGCCTCCTTTTAACATTTTAATGGAGTATTGACAGGGATCCATTCACACTCCAAGAAGATGAACCTGACTTGCATCCCCAGAATCCCATTTGCAGAGGCAGCCCAAGCAGGTGGGGTGGGAGCATCTTCTCAGAGGTATCGGCTGCAGCTCAGAAAGCATCCTTCTTTCCTGGTTACAGGAACAGCTTGAAAAAGTCTATCAAGGATATTACACTTTGGAAAACTGCTGCTTTGGGTCTCTTGTCCCTCCTCCTACCTGCTGCCGCACTCCCTCGTCTCTGCAATTATTTATAAAGCTCCGTGTTCCTTCCTAATTGGGATGCCATCATGTTCCCTTTCGCCATGCACGTCACTCGTGTGTCACTCTGCGTCGGGCCCGCGGTGGCCTCTCGGCACGCTTGGCAAGGCTGGCAGCAGCCAAATGAGTCATCAGCAACCTGCCTGCACCCCCCTCCCTCCAGCCATCGCCCCCCCCCGCTCCCCGCTGCAGCAGGGGAGGCCTGGGGGGAGCTTAAAGCAGTTTAATCTCCAGGCTGGATAATTCGCGGAAAGAGGATTACCCATTCTGTGCAGAGCCCTTACCTAAATATAGACCAGCCCTTCCATTGCAGCTCCTGTAGCATGGGGACGTTTTCCCCGCACTGTTTCCCCATCCCATTTTAGGGGGTTAATTCTCCTCGCACTCAAATCCAGGACAACACGGTTGTAACCCATGGAGTTATGATATGATAAAACCTGGGTTAGTAAAGCAGAGGCAAGAATGTAGCTCTGTGAAAACCAGCAGGATTGTGGCAGACTCATCCCCAGAAGCACATTTTCCCCCTAAAATGCCAGATTCCTTCTGTAGGGTCAGGGCATATAGAATCAT